CTTTTATCAAAGGAAAGCAGGCATTACCTACGGGGACCATTTGAATTGCATTGGACTAAAGTTACCAGGTTGATTTATTAGATTCATTTTTTGGCTCATGAGGAAGATCAGAATCGTTTTTAGAAAAAAGTCTATTTTTCCTGCCCAGCTGCAAGTAGTGTGGGAAAACTTGCAATATTAAAATGTATGGACTCCTTACAATAGGCTATTGGTAACATCCATGTAAGGTAGGTATTACCTCATTTTACAGATGAGGTTATTAGAACCTGGTAAGGTAAAGTCACTTCCCCAAAGTTACATGCTCAGTAAGTAAAAGAGGTAGAAACTTAGTACAGGTTATTCTAATGTCATATATCATATTCAGCTACAATGCTAGGCTGTCTTCCTTGCATTGCACTGCAGAATATCCAGAACTATTCCTAAGCCACTTCATGTGTTATTAGCAAATGGCCTGTGAAGTAGATGCTCTTGCTGGGACAGTTTTTAAAACCTCTCTATATTGAACTGGGACACTGCCTAGAACTGGTCCAGACTCTGCCTTTCAGAGAATATTGATGATTTAGAAAACTTTCCCTGAGTAAACTAATGTTAAAACACAGGCAAGTGTAATAGGAAAATCAACAGAGTGACTAGAGGAAGCATTGAAGGTGCTTTTTCTCCCTACTTTTAGGATGATTTTCAATGAGTAACTTGGAAGGGCTATTTTTAAGAGAATATGCTCATGAAAGCCATTTCAAGAGCTCTAGAAGGACCTTTTTGTTAAAACTTCCAGATATAACTCAGAGTGATTCTGAATTACCTAGCTGGTCAGGGATTTAGCCAAGACCTGCCATGCAGGGAGCAAGGGATGCCAGAGACCCAGCAGAGGCTGGCAGTGAAAGTAACTACTAGGGAAGACTGAGAGCAGCAAACACAATAGGTTTGACCAGTTCTCACTCATAAGAAATGCAGGAAGACCCCGGGATCAGGGTCATGGGATCTCACAATTGAGGGAAGCTGACTCTGAGAGTAAACTGCTAATTTGAGAAGCTACTAAAAGCAGGGCTGCCACTGCCACGGACAGTTGCCCAGAGGTTCCTCTGGAAGTTGTAGGAGAAAAAACTGCTGAGAGTACAGATTGAAGATAGCACTGATGAGGGAAATCACAGGGGGTAGACAAGGGAAAGAGAAGCAAACCCGCAAGTCCTCTGAGCCAAAGCTCCCTTGAAGACAGCTAGCAATGGCACAAAGGGAAGAGTGAAAACCAACTCCATTATTGACTTGCTATTCACAGAGCAGGTACAGGTTGTGCTATTCACCCTCAGTAGAAAGCCAGAATAACCATTTTACTTGTAAGGCCACCTCGTTGAACTGAAGATCCAGAAATTCTGGAGGTTGTTTGAACAAGCCATAGAGAAAACAATCATAATACAGCCACCTGACACTCTAAGAGTGTCGAGTGTCAACCTAGAAAAGAGAATTATAGATAGTTATGTTTTACGACAGACTGTGAATTGTTATAACTATTTATGTTTGGCCATCACTGATAAAACTGCATCCACAGGACTCTGCAATTGAGATTATTATAAGTAACATATTTTATAGGCAGAGGAATTAGAGCACAGAGCATGGTGGAAGCCATATTGCAAATCAGGCCTCCAATCAGTTACCAAGCCAAGAATAGACCCTAGCTGCCATTTGGCCATGGAAAGCAATCTCTGATAATGACCAAAAGGTTACTGAGGTTTTCCAAGCCTTAGATAAATGTATCACTGGGAAACTATCTTTCATTCCTTAAACTGTAATTTCGTACAGTGACCAGAATTTGATATGTTCCATTGATTTCCCAGATCAAGTAAAGAATAAAGATGTTTAAAATCATTTTCATTCAGCTTTCCTCAACAGTGAAATTCCATAACCCTGACCCCTAGATCTTCCGGCATTTCTTATGAGCAAGAACTGGTCAAACCTTCATCTTTACTTAGTCTAGGTCAAACCTTCATCTTTACTTAGTCTACATACAAGCTGCTCCTCTGTGACCAATTCCAGATTGGAATTGGATTACACTTGGAACATTGTGTGAATTCTTGTTTACAGGAAGAAATAGCCCAGCTGGAGATCTTATTAACATGAGAACAAAAGGCATTAATTTTTCCGTGTTTACCATTGTCTTTGAAAAGTTATGAACATTCTTACACAAATTTGCACTTTTTAATAATAAATATTGTTCCAAATTTAGAAAATATTTTTTGAAGGGGCAGATGACTTAAAAATCTTACCATAGGCTGGGCGCGGTGGCTCACGTCTATAATCCCAGCACTTTGGGAGGCCAAGGTGGGTGAATCACAAGGTCAAGAGATGGAGACCATCCTGGTCAACATGGTGAAACTCTGTCTCTACTAAAAATACAAAAATTAGCTGGGCATAGTGGCGCACACCTGTAGTGCCAGCTACTCGGGAGGCTGAAGCAGGAGAAATGCTTGAACCCAGGAGGCGGAGGTTGCGGTGAGCCGAGATCGAGTCATTGCACTCCAGCCTGGGAAACAAGAGCGAAACTCTGTCTAAAAAAAAAAAAAATTCTTACCATAAAACAGTTTGGAAATGTATCTTTCCATGACAAAAATCTGACAAACCTTAAGGTTGAAAGGGACCTTAGGATTTACCTCATCCAACAATCCACGTCATAAATGAATCTCTTCTCCCTCTCCCTAAGGCCATGAGTGGACGATATATGTCAGTAAATCCAATGCACACTATCGATCCTTGATTTCTCAGATGTGTTTGACATTTTGACTTCTTGCCACTTTTTAAGATACTCTTTTCTTTTGGTTTCTGGTAAGCAATAGTTTTCTTCCTATGTGTCTGGGTGTTTCTCCTCAGACATTTTTCCAAGTTCATTCCCTTTTTATCCAGGCATAAAGTAATGAAGTTTCTCAATATGTGGCCCTCTCCTCTGTTGACTCTGTGGATTGTATCATTCATTCTCACTGCTATGATTATAAGACTTGAATCACAAGCATTATCTTTGGTTTGGATTACTTCTCTAAGTTCCAGATGAGTATAAACAAATCCCTGCTCTGTATCTCTTCTTTGAACCTTTCTGGCACCTCAACATCAAGTTGTCTAGATCTACACTCAAGATCTTCTTTCCCCATCCCCACCTTCAAACTTCATCTGACAGTCCCTCTCTTCAAACTTCATCTGACAGTCCCTCTTCAAAATCACGAGCACCTCTAATTTGCCCTTGAAGTGTTCCTGCAATCTTACATCAACTCCAGCTCCAAAGCCTACTGATTTATGTCTTAGGTATTTTTCAATTCTATTCCCTTCTCTCCATCTCTCCTGCCACCAGCCTAGTCCAAGCAGGCAACATCCTCCTCCTTGACTATTATGATATCCCAAATACTCTTCCCTTAGATACGTTTGCTTCCTTTTAATTAATTATCTATCTCAGCATCAGCAGAGTTATCTTTTCAAAACCCAAATCTGACCTTTATTATTTTTAAAATACAAACAAAAAAATGTTAAACAGTATCCTAGTGTTCTTGAAATTAAAGGAAAAACAACTAAAACTAAATCTAAAACAAAAGCAAAATCATTCTTAACATAGCCTCTAGGTTTGTACAAAGGCTTGTCACTCATTGCCTCCCTTATTTTGCATGTGCTCCTCCCACTGCTGTCATGACTGTTCTGTTGTGGTCTTTTTTTTTTTTTTTTTTTTTTTTTGAGAGATGGGGTCTCTCTATTTTGCCCAGGATGGTCTCAAACTTCTGGGCTCAAGTGATCTTCCTACCTCGGCCTCCCAAATTGCTGAGATTACAGGTGTGATATCTTTGCCCAGCCAGAATGGGTTCTTGCCAGTGGAAAATTTGGTATATCTGAGGAGTTGATCTGAGACAATAAGAACCATTTTTTTCATTTGTGTGTTCCATTTATTAATAACATTTAGAAAATTATTGAGAAATAGTCTTAACTTAGTTTGCATATAAACTGCTCCTCTGTAACGAATTCCAGAGAATTTCATTTCCCAAGTTTAAAAAAAAAAATGGTGCTGAAGACATATTCAAGTTATACCTCAAAAATCCCTTCTTTGCACTAAAAAATATTCTCATCTGTAGGAGTTTACTCCCATATTACATGAATTTATTCCCAACATTGATTAGCATTTGGTAGGTCTAGAAATTATATGTTTAGGATTAAAGTATTCACATGGATTTTTATGGTATCAGTCCTTTGCCTTCTTAAAACAATACCAAAAATTATATACTTAGAAAAAAATTAAAGAAAGCAAAATTTTTTTTGCTGACTTCCTTCTCTCCTTTAACTGACTCCAAAATCTAAGCTCCTTTCTCTCTACTTCCCACAAATTAAAACTCACACCAGAATGGAATTATTAGACAAAAACAGTAGAAATACTAACTTTGTATGTTTACCAGTTTGATTTAATGAGAATAAGAAAATTCTCCATTTATGAGATGTGTGGTATTTGGGAATAGAGAAAGTTGTGTTTGTGGATAGGGCTGGGAAAACAATTTCTGAAGAGGTACTGACCTGAAAAACACATTTTTTCCTAACTTGTGCCAAGCATTGAATTCTTAACAAAAAGATAAACTGCATTTAGCTTAACTTTAGACTTGTACTAGTTCAGAACACATAATTGCTACATTATCTTTTTCCCTCATAATCTTTAGGAAACGTGTATTAATATTCTTGAGTACTAAGTATCCTTTTCTTTGAAGAATCTTATTCAACACATTTAAATTGCTAAGTATTAAGGAGGCTAGACTTACACTAAACAAAGGCTATTGCGGAGGCAAGTCAAAGCTGCATCTCCCGTGTTCACGTTTAAAAAAAAAAAAAAACCCAAATACCTTTTATGCTTCAGCTTCAGCTGTAGTTATCATGGTCCTAATAATAGTACTTATAATCAAGCCTTTTTTTTCTTTCTCCTTAATTTTCTCTTTCCCTCAGGAAAGCACCCTCACTTCAAGTCATGTTCATTCTACAATTTCATATTTCAGATGTCATAGTTGCAGGACCAGTCATGTTGTGTGACAGACGAGAAGAGGCGGCGCCCGTCAATCAGCAGCTCCCGTGTGCTAATCCTCACCCCAGTGAGCTGATTGGGTCCTCTGGATTCTGACCACTGTGATGGTCAATCATACAGCTGCTCTATTCAGGCTCATCATCTCCCTATTCTTACAGATTATTGCATCATGGCCACCAAGACAAAAAAAAAAAAAAAGAGAAGGAGGATCAAAGTCATCAAAGCCATGTGTCCTGAAAGAAATACTCAATGTGACGGGAATTTTTCATCAAATTGACTTGCTGTAAAAGACTATTTCTATCAAATAGCAATCAAATGGTTATGATTATAAGTAATCAAAAGCTGGATGTTTCTGTAGTGGGGGTGGTTTCTCCTCTTGTTTCTATTCAGAATGCATACCAATCTTGCCTTTTAATTTCGAGGCCATTTCTCTAACACTTACAATTCTATTACTTATTTAAACCTCATACTCAGAAAGCAATGACTTCAGAAACAATCAGTTATTCTATTCATAGCAAGTTCATCACAATTTTTTTACTCTGATTCTGACATTGATTCAATAACTTTGTAAAAATTATTTGTCACCTGCCAATTGACTTCTATGGTAATGAGAATCATCTGGCATTTTGCTACACTTACCAAATAACAAAGAAACATAGTGAAAAATCACTTATAATTATCACTACATTTATGAAATATTTGTTAATCATTTTAATGCTTGTGACAGTGTCAGAAGTAATTATTGCAAATGTGTTGCCAAATTGATCTGGTGATAATCAATTCTTATTACATATAATGGTATGAAACAGTATTTCCTGTAAAAGAGTGGTATAACCTTTTGAAATTGGTTTCCACGAAGAATTTATTTTTCATCTCCTTATCTTGATAAAAAGATATTCCCGAGCTAAGCTAAAGTTTTGCCTAAATCTTTCTTTCTGGTGATAAACTGAAATCTTACCCTGTAATGATAATTTTTTTTTCTTAAAGACTTATTTCTTGACTCTTATCTTTTTATTAAGATATAGATGACAAAAGTTATACATATATGGTATATAACATGTTTTGATATAATATGTGCTGCTAAATAGTTAAATCAAGCTAATTTATGTCACTTCACATACTTTTGTTTTTGTAAGAACGTGTAAGATCTAATCTCTTAGTGACTTTAAAGTATACAATATACTGTTATTAAATATAGTCACCATGCTGTCTAATAGATCACTCTTCTTACCCTGTCTAACTGAAACTTTGTACCCTTTGACCAACATCTCCTCATTGCCCCAACCCCACCTTGGCTCCTGGCAACCACCCTATGCTTCTGTGCTTTTTTAGATGTATGACATCATGCAGTATTTGTCGTTCTTTGTCTTTTTTTCCACATCATATAATGTCCTGCAGGTTCATGTATGCTGTCCTAAAAATAAGATTTCTTTTTTTTTAAAGGCTGAATAGTATTTCATTGTACATATAGACCATTCATCCATTGATGAACACTTAGGTAGTTTGTATATCTTGGATATTTGAATTATGCTTCAGCCAACATGGGAGTGCAAATATATCTTCAACATACTGATTTCATTTCTTCTGAATACATATCCAAAAATGAGATCGTGGATCACATAATAGCTCTGTTTTCAAATTTTTGAAGAACCTCCCTAGTATTTTCCACAATGGCTGTACTAATTTACATTTCCACCAACAGGGTACAAGGATTCCCTTCTCTTTTATCTTCTATCTTTTTCCTAATAGTCATTCTAACAGGTGTGAAGTAATATCTCATTGTGGTTTTAATTTGCATTTCCCTGATGATTGGTGATGTTCAGCATTTTCTCATATACCTTCTGGCCATTTGTCTTCTTTTGAAAAATATCCATTGAGATCCTTTACCAGTTTTTAAATCAGGTTACTTGTTTTCTTTCTATTGAGTCATTTGAATTTCTTATGTATTTTTCATATTATCCCCTTATCAGATGTATGGTTTGCAAATGTTTTCATACATCCCATAGGTGATCCCTTAAATCAGTTTATTGTTTCCTTTGCTATGCAGAAGCTTTTTAATTTGTTGTAATCCCATTTGTCTATTTTTGCCTTTATATCCTGTGCTTTTGGGGTCACATTTAAAAAAATCTGTGCCCAGAAAAATGTCATGGAGCTATTCTCCTGTGTTTTTTCTTTTTCGGTAGTTTGACAATTTCTAGTTTGATATTTATGTCTTTCATCATTTTGAGTTAGTTTTTGTATGTATTGTGAAATATGGATGGATTTCGTTCTTCTGCATGCGGATTTCCATTATTCCCATCATTATTACTGAAGACATTGCCCTTTCCTCCATTGTGTATTCTTGGCACCTTCGCTAAGATCATTTGACTGTAAATGCATGAATTTACTTCTGGGCTCTCTATTCTGTTGCATTGGTCTATGAGTCTGTTTTTATGCCAGTACTATGTTGTTTTGATACTATTGCCTTGTAGTATGTTTTGAAATCAGGCAGTGTGTGGTCTGCAGCTTTATTCTTTCATCTGAAGACTGCTTTGGCTATTTGGGATCTTTTGTGGTTCTATATGAATTTTGTATTCCTTTTCTATTTTTGTGGAAAAATCACTAGAATTTTGATAGGAATTACATTGCGTCTGTAGATTACTTTGGATGGTACAGACATTTTTCTTTATTTTTTTAATTTTTAATTTTTGTGAGTTCATAGTAAGTGTATATATTTCGGGGGTGCACGAAATATTTTGATACAGGCATGCAATGTGTACTAATCACTCTATGGAAAACAGAATATTCACTTCCTTAAGCATCTATCCTTTGTGTTACAAACAGGTCACTTTGTAAATAACTAAATAACCTTTAGTTATTTTTAAATGTATAACAATTATTATTGACTATAGTCACCCTATTGTGCTATGAAATGCTAGGTCTTCTTAATTCTTTATAGCTAGTATTTTATACTCATTAACAATATCCACTTCCCTGCATCCACTACCCTTTCCAACCTCTGTGAACCATCCTTCTATACTCTATCTCTGTATGTTCAATTGTTTTGATTTTTAGATCCCACAAATAATTTGTCTTCCTGTGCCTGGCAGTGCAGACATTTTAACAATATTAATTCTTCCAATCCATGGATATAGGATATCTTTCCTTTATTTGTATCTTCATCAAATATTTAATCAAGGTTTAAAGTTTTCATTATACAGCTATTTCTCCACCTTAGTTAAATTTATCTGCATTTTTGTGAAGCTATTGTAAATAGCATTTTTAAAATGTCTCTTTTGGGTAGTTCATTGGTAATACACAGAAACATTAAAATCAAATACACTATTAATTTTGTATTGTACAACTTCACTGAATTTGTTAATTAGTTCTAACCACTTTATTGGTAGAGCATTAAGGTTTTCTACATATAAAATTATATCATCTGCAAACAGAGACAACTTTACTTCTTTTCAATTTGGAGCATTTTGCTTCTTTTTCTTGCCTATTTGCTCTGGCTAGAACTTTCAGTACTTTATTAAATAGAAGTGGTAAGATTGGGCATCCCCATCTTGTTCCTTATCTTAGAGGAAAAGCTTTCAGCTTTTCACCATTGAGTATAATGTTCACTGTGGGCTTGTCATAAATGGCCTTTGTTATGCTGAGATACATTCCTTCTACAACTAATTTGCTAACAATTTTTGTGATGAAAGGATGTTGAGTTTTGTCAAATGTTTTTTCTGCGTCTATTAAGACAATTATAGGTTTTTTCTTTATTCCATCAATATGATGTAATCATACTTTTTGATTTGCATATATTAAAATATCTTTACATCCCAGAGAAAAATCCCACTTGATCATGATGTGCAATCCTTTTACGTGCTGTTGAATTCAGTTTGCTAATATTTTGTTGAGGATTTTTGCATTGATGATGCCCATCAGAAATATTGACCTGTAATTTTCTTTTCTTCCAGTATTTTTGTCTGGTTTTGATATCAGGGTAATAAAGGTCTAATATAATGAGTTTGTAAGTGTACCCTTTTTTTTAATTTTTTGGATGAGTTTTAGAAGGATCGATGTTACTTCTTTAACTGTTTGCTGGAATTCACCAGTGAAGCCATGGATTCTGGGGCTTTTCTTTTTGGGAGGTTTTTGATCACTTAATTCCTTTACTCATCATTGGTCTGTTAATATTTTCTTTTTCTTCATGATTCAGTCTTGGCAGCCTGTGTTTCTAGAAATTTATGCATTTCTTTTAAATTATCCAATTTACAGGCATATAGTTATTCATAGTTGATTATAGCCTCTTATGCTCTTTTATATTTATGTGGAATCCGTTGAATTGTCTTCTTTAATTTTTTATCTTATTTCTTTGAATCTTCTCTCTTGTTTCTTAGTTTAGCTAAAGTCTTGCTAATTTTGTTCATATTTTAAGAAAACACACTCAGTTTTATTTATCTATTATTTTTCTAGTCACCATTTAATTTATTTCTGTGCTCTGATATTTATTATTATGTTTTCTTTCCTGTGAATTTGGGCTTGGTTGTTTTTTTTTTTTTTCTGGTTCCTTAAGGTGTAAAGGTAGGTTGTTTATTTAAGATCTTTTTACTCTTTTAATATGGTCATTTATTGCTGTAGATTTCCTTCTTAGATCTGCTTCGCTGCACCCCTTGAGTTTTGATATGCTGTGTTTCCATTTTCATTTGTCTCAAAAAATTTTTTGTTTCCTTTTTGGTTTTATTTTTTAATCCACTGGATATTAAAGGCTATGTAATTTAATTTTCGCAAAGGTAATATTCAAACACAAGGCAAAATTTTATTATCCAATTTCTCAATGATACATTTCATCATAATTGCAATTTCTGATGAGAAAACTTGGAAAATAACTTTCTGTAAAGAATAATTAAAGAAAATGAATATTAATTAAGATTGTGATTTATTCATAGTCAGTTTGCTTTGTCTTCCCTTTATGTCTCTTTCTTTAGGAAGCTGTGCTTCATGTTGCAAAGGAGCTTGTAAATTATGGAATTTATAGAACATACAGAATCTACAAATAAAATGGTTTGTTGTTTGTTTTGGTTTTACAGATTTACAATAAATAGCACTCTCTTAAGTTTATGTTACTTGAGGGAATGCCACATAATTCTAGCTATGTACTTCTTAGGAATGGGAAAAAATACTGATGTATGCTTGGTCACAGTCTTTATGGTGACTGTCCTATGCCTTCATAGAAAAGGGCACATCAGATCTCTCCTAAGGATAAGGTTTGAAAGTTAACAAGATGGCACAATCAAAAGGGCTTTGGACCCTTGCAGGTGTCTACATAATACACTGAGATAACATATAAATATGTGACGAGGTAGATGTGGTTTCTAAAGTTTACATTTTCATACAGGCTTAACCACCCTAGATGTTTCTTGAAATTGACTAAATTCACATTTGAATCTGGAAGCCTCTGTTTCCGTGTTTTTCTCACAACATGATAACTCTGCTGTGGCATGTTGTGTTTATTTTATGACATCATTTTCTATGCCTACACATGTAGGAAAATATTTCCTCATTTTCCATAAAATGGGCAGGGAGACTGAGTCCTGATCAACAGGATGTGAGCAGAAGTGATGTTCACCATGTTTTTTGCCAGAGGCCATGAGACCATGAATGTCACCTTTTTTTTTTTTTTTTTTTTTTTTGAGATGGAGTTTCACTCTTGTTGCCCAGGCTGGAGTGCAATGGCGCAATCTTGGCTCACGGCAACCTCTGCCTCCCAGGTTCAAGTGATTCTTCTGCCTCAGCCTCCCAAGTAGCTGGGATTACAGGTGCCCACCACCATGCCCAGGTAATTTTTGTATTTTTAGTAGAGATGGGGTTTCGCCATGTTCGCCAGGTCTCAAACTCCTGACCTCAGGTGATCTTCCCGTCTCGGCCTCCAAAAGTGCTGGGATTATAGGCGTGAGGACCGCACCCAGCCAGAATGCCACCTTTAAAGAAGGCAAAACAATAAGGTGAAAACAATCTGGATCCCCACGTCAACACAGGATAAAAAGTGTCTGTGGAGTCACCTAGCCTACATCAAAAAGTTTGTAAGTGAGAAATAGATGTTGCTATGAAAATCATTGGGATTTCAAGTTTTTTTTTTTTTGAGACAAGTTTTACTCTTGTCACCAAAGCTAGAGTGCAATGGTACAGTCTTGGCTCATTGCAACCTCCAACTCCCTGGTTCAAGTGATTCTCTGGCCTCAGCCTCCAGAATAGTTGGAATTAAAGGCGCCTGCAACCACACCCAGCTAATTTTTGTTTTTTTTAGTAGAGATGGGGTTTCACCATATTGGCCAGGCTGGTCTGGAATTCCTGACCTCAGGTGATCCACCCATCCCAGCCTCCCAAAGTACTGGATTATAGGCATGAGTCACTGCACCTGGCCAGGATTTCAAGATTTATTTATTACCACAGCATAGCTTATCCTATCCTGACTAACATAATTGCTTTCTGTTTTCTACTTTCTTATCCAGAAACTCATGTTTTTATTGATAAAGCTTAATGGTTCACTTCTTCTGAGAGATATTTGCATTTCCCTAAGGTATTCATGAGGGGCAAAATACCATCAAACCCTAAAAGAAATGGATCTCTGATACAGAAACAAAATTGAATACTGTAATAAAGAGCAAGGGAAACTTATGTATAGAAAGATACTTTCTGAGAGCCTCTCTAGCTATATCATTTAGTAGTATTTAGGCTGTGCTTTTAAAAGTCATATTTGTTCTCCATGTTTCTATTGTTGCTTTCTTTTAGTAAAATGCTATTTTAGCAGGGAACAATCGAAGGAGAAAGAAAACCTTTTTTGTCTGAATATTTTTGACAGTCGAAATTCTATCAAATGAAAGAATTATAAAGTGATTTATTCTAACAGGCACGTGCACCAAATAACTTAGCTTCTTAAAATAGTTCACATCCAAATTACTTAGATAATGGGCATTGTAAGTTTGGCACTATGCTAAGAATCCTTTTGTACTTCTCTGTGTGACACGAGTTCTTACAAACAAAATTTCTCACATCAAGTCACAGTCTTTTGAGTTGCATTCTCCAAAACTCCATCTATTTCAACTGCACCCACAAATTTCCAAGTCTGTTTGTTTTGCTGTTAGAGACTATAAGTGGCATTGACTTCCAAGTGTGACATTTTAGGAAGAGCACATGTTTTGACGAGACATCCTTTCAAAGCTGAAGGCCGTCATAACCTTCCCCACCGCCAACCCACACAGCCTCTTTCTCCTAGCCCTCACCTCAGATACCGAACCCCAAAAAGCCTTATCCGAACTCCTCCCCAGAGTCCATCCTCAGGTCTGGGACACTAACAACCCGTCTGTAGCTACCCACAGACTGGAAAGGCGTCATTCAACCCTGGCATTGGCGAGGAGGCCAGTGATGGCCATGGCCACTGGTCCTATGCCGGAACTGGAGGAGCCGGTCCTGTAGCCAGCCTCAATCCCCAGGCAACAGACCCAATCCCACTAGTGCCAGCCGGAGTTCAGCAGGACAGTTCAGTATTGTCTTAGCAAACAGCTATGGTGCAGGAGGTATAGCTCCAGTTGCTCCTTGGCCTGTCTCCAGTCCCTCCAAGACATGTGTGGCCCTGGCATGCTTTTTAAATTAAATCTTGATTTAAATACCATTTCTGACGTTTACTAGCCATATAAGTTTCATGAAGTTGATCTAAAGAGTTCCAATGTCCTCCTATAATAAAATAAGAAAAAAATTATAGACCAATTCCCATAAGGACTGATAGGTTTATTTATAGATACTACTTGTAAAGGCACAAGCAGAATGCCTGGTATGCAATAGGAATTCAACATACGAGAATCCACTTGAGAATTATTTTATATTGATGTACAAATAATGTGTAAAAAATGCATGGATTTTAAGATTTTGGATATTCTTTCCATCCATGAAAACACCACCAAAAACAAGATGTAGAACATTTCCATCACTCCAGGAAGTTCCTTCAAACTCCTTTCCAGTCCATTTTACCATCCCCCTTCCCCTACCCCACCTTTCCATCACTTAGGCAAACCTTTAAAATTTAGGTTATTGGCTGGGCGCGGTGGCTCAAGCCTGTAATCCCAGCACTTTGGGAGGCCGAGGCGGGTGGATCACGAGGTCAAGAGATCCAGACCATCCTGGTTAACATGGTGAAACCCCGTCTCTACTAAAAATACAAAAAATTAGCTGGGCATGGTGGCGCATGCCTGTAATCCCAGCTACTCAGGAGGCTGAGGCAGGAGAATTGCCTGAACCCAGGAGGCGGAGGTTGCGGTGAGCCGAGATAGCGCCATTGCACTCCAGCCTGGGTAACAAGAGCGAAACTCCGTCTCAAAAAAAAACCCCACAAAATGTGTGTTATTATACACTTGCCCAACTCTAGTAAATTAAGTCACAGAGTATGTCTTCTTTTGTGCCTGGCATTCTTTGCTGAATATAATGAATTTTTATGAGATTTAATTTATGCTGTTGAATGTAGTAAGTACTGTTTTTTTTATTGCTTTATGTCTTATTGTATGACTATACCACAATTTCTTTCTCCTTTAACATTTCAATGGACATTTGAGTGATCCGGTTTTTTTGTTATTATGAATAAAACTGAAAGCAATATTCTTGTACAAGCTTTTTTGTGATGTTATGTTTTCATTTCTCTTTAATGAATACCTAGAGGTAGAATTATTGGATCATGGGGTAGGCATATACTTAACTTTATAATAAACTACCAAACAGTTTTCTAAAATGACTGGATCATTTTAAACTCCTACAAGCAATGTATAAGAATTTCTGAGGCCAGGCACGGTGGCTGAAGCCTGTAATCCCAGCACTTTGGGAGGCCGAGGCGGGCGGATCACGAGGTCAAGAGATGGAGACCATCCTGGCCAATATAATGAAACCCCGTCTCTACTAAAAATACAAAAATTAGCTGGGCGTGGTGGTGTGCACCTGTAGTCCCAGCTACTCGGGAGGCTGAGGCAGGAGAATTGCTTCAACCTGGGAGGCAGAGGTTGCAGTGAGCCGAGATTGTGCCACTGCACTCCAGCTTGGCACCTGGTGACAGAGTGAGACTCTGTCTCAAAAAAAAAAAAAAAAAAAAAAAAGAATTTCAGTTGCCCTATAGCCTAGCCCATATAGGTATTCTTCCTTTTATTACACACTGTTTTCTTGCACTTTGCAGATTGTGTGATTTTTTTACAAATTGAAGACACGTGGTAATGCTGTGCTGAGCCAGTCCATCGGCACCATTTCCGGTAGCATGTGTTCCTTTCATGTCTCTGTCGCATTTTAATGCTTCTTGTAAAATTTCAAATTTTTCATTATTATTATATCTGTGATGGTTGTCTGTGATCAATGTTCCTTATTGTTAATATTGAAATTATTTTGGGGTGCCAAAAATAGTGCTCATAAAAGATAGCGAACTTAATTGATAAATGTATTCTGACTGCTCCACTGATCAGCCATTTTCCCATCTCTGTTCTTCTTCTTGAGGCTCCCTATTCCCTGAGACACAGTAATACAGAAATTAAGCCAATTAGCAACCCTAGAAAGACCTCTAAGTGTTCAAGTGAAAGCAGAGCCACATTTTTCTTACTTTAAATCAAAAGATAGACATGATTAAGCTTAGCAAGGAGGGCTTGTCAAAAGCCAAGATAGGCTGAAAGATAGACTTCTTGCATGAAACAGCCAAGTTGTGAATGCAAAGAAAAAGTTCTTGAAGGAAATTAAAAGTGGCACTCGAGTGAAAACACAAAGGATGAGAAAACAAAACAGTCTTATTGCTTCTACAGAGAAACGTTGAGTGGCCTGCATAAAAGATCAAACTAGCTATAACATTCCCTTGAGCCAAAGCTTCATCCAGAGCAAGGCCCTGACTCTCTTCAATACTATGAAGGCAAAGAGACCTAGAGAAGCTGCAGAAGAAAATTTTGAAGCTAGTTGAGGTGGGTTCATGAGATGTAAGGAAAGAAGCCATCTTCATAACATAAAAGTGCAGGATGAAGAAGCAAGTGTTAATGTACAACCCGCAGCAATTTATCCGGAAGACTTATCCAAGGTAATTGATGAA